ATACCAGAGAACGCTGACACATCTATAAATAATCAACATATTGAACCACAATCTAGCACTGAAACTAACACAAGTACAGTTAATTATACTAAAATAGAAGATCTATTTAATGAAACATTAATAAAATATAGAGGCACCGACCCTACATTGAGACCTAGTTTACCAAGGCTACAAACCAACCCTAATATGACCCAAACAGTTAAAACATTAAATTACATAATAAAAAATTTTTTAGAAGAAAACCTTGTTAACACACTTGAAGAATTACAACTGATAATATATAGTGCGGCTTTTACTACTTCCTTAATACACAATACTCGAAACAAAATAAATACGGAAAATTCAGAATCAATAACAGAAACCAAGAAGCACAAAAAACCACCATGGCAAAGAAGATTGGAATATAAAATCAATAGACTTAGAAAAGAGATAGGACAACTTACACAATACCTTCGAGGAAATCTGACTGTCAAAAAGCAAAAGAAAATTAATCGTCTGGGAAAAAATAAAGATAGTATAGTGGATGATCTTGACGAAAAGAAACAAAAGCTGCAGGCAATGGCAAAACGTTTACGCAGATATCAAAAGAGTAATTTACGAAAACAACAAAACAATTTATTTGAAACTAATCAAAAACTATTTTACAGACATTTAAATAAAGACCAATTTGTTACACAAGGACCTGAAATTGCCAAAATACAAGGTTTCTGGGAAAATATCTGGTCAAACCCTGTACAACATAATGAACATACACCCTGGATGTCTATAGAGGAAAATGAAGTAGGAGGCTTAGAACCAATGCCTAATGTTACGATTAATCTGGAAGATGTTAAACTTGCTATTGACAGAACCTTAAACTGGAAAGCACCAGGCCCAGATAAAGTACATAATTATTGGTTAAAATACTTACCATCTACACACCAAACTCTTGCTAATATATTCGATAGATTAATTAAAGAACCGGAAAATACACCATTGTTTCTCACGCAAGGTATAACATATCTTAAACCGAAAGATACAGATCATTTAAATCCGTCGAAATACAGACCAATTACATGTTTAGCTACGATCTATAAATTGTTAACATCTATTATCGCACATAAAATAGGACGGCATATAACACACAACAATATTATACACGAGGAACAGAAGGGTTCCTGTAAAGGTTCAAGAGGCTGTAAAGAACAACTGATAATCGACACCGAAATCCATTTTCAAGTAAAACAAAAACATAGAAATCTACACTACGCTTATATTGATTACCAGAAGGCCTATGATAGTGTCCCACATTCCTGGCTTATATACATATTAAAATTATACAAAATTGATGACCAAATAATAAACTTTTTGAAATATACAATGACCACATGGAACACCATTTTGCAAATAGGTACAAAAAATTCAACTATTAAATCTACTCCAATTAAAATAGCTCGAGGTATTTTTCAGGGTGACTCGTTGAGCCCACTCTGGTTTTGCCTCGCAATAAATCCCTTATCTAGGATATTAAATAACACAGGATATGGATATACTATAAGCCGGGAAATAAAAACTAAAATCACGCTTTTATTATATATGGATGACATAAAACTATATGCAACCAATAGACAACAATTAGATTATCTTCTCAAATTAACAGAATTATTTAGTACGGATATTAAAATGAGGTTTGGTACTGAAAAATGCAAAATAAATTCAATTGTTAAAGGACACTATAAACAGACACAACCACATTATGTACAGTCACTACAGGAAATAATAGACAGTATGAATTATAAAGAGACGTATAAATATCTGGGCTATGTACAACATACTACTATAGATCACACACAAGTAAAATCTGATTTAATATTGAAATATAAGCAACGTCTCTGCGAAATATTTAGAACTCTTCTCTCAGCCAGAAATAAAACAAAGGCCATAAATACTTATGCAATACCAGTACTTACCTATTCATTTGGTATAATTAATTGGACAGATACGGATCTTGATGCTATTAACACAGTTACAAGATCTGTATCACGTAAACATAACCAACATCATATACACTCTTCGGTCGAACGTTTTACATTAAACCGAAAAATGGGTGGCCGAGGGATTATAGACATCAAAAATTTACATTACTCCCAAGTTGAAAATCTACGTACATACTTCCAAAAACATTCCAACACCAGTAAGTTGCATAAGGCAATCATATCTATGTCGACATCTGGAACTGCACTACAACTTAATAACGATCAGTTTAAACCCTTAGATAAAATCATAACACCAGAACAGAAAATAGAAAACTGGAAAAGGAAACAACTCCATGGAAAATATCCCTGTCAGCTAGATCAACCCCATATTGATAAGGATGCATCGAATACATGGCTCACACGAGGAAATATATACCCAGAGACAGAAGGTTTCATGATCGCTATACAAGATCAGATAATAAACACACGTAACTATGCAAAATATATAATTAAAGATAATACTGCTCAGAGTGATAAATGTAGATTATGTAATAATTGGTCAGAAACAATAAATCATATAACAGGAGGTTGTCCCGTATTGGCTAATAAAGAGTACGTACAGAGGCATGACAACGTTGCAAAATTAATTCATCAGGAACTTGCACTCAAAAACAAACTTATAACAACCAAAACACCATATTATAAATATACACCTACCGCAGTTCTTGAAAATGAAGACACTAAGCTGTACTGGAACCGTGATATTATCACCGACAAATCAATAATTTCTAATAGACCTGATATAACACTTACATATAAGAATCTAAAAACAACTTACCTCTTAGATATATCCATCCCAAATACTGAAAACCTGAAACAAAAACACAACGAGAAAATACAAAAATACTTACCTCTGTCAGAAGAAATTAAAGACATGTGGCACCAAACTTCCGTTGTAATTATCCCTATTATTTTATCATCCACTGGAGTGATCCCAAAAACATTGCATTCGTCATTACATCAACTGCAATTAAGGAAATTTAGCTACATTGAACTACAGAAATCCACTATATTAGATACGTGTTCAATAGTTAGAAAATTTTTAAACAGCCCAGTAAACAATATTTAAAAATTCAATTGTGTGAACATGTGACTTGGTGATATAAGCCCGTCCTTGTATCACTATATAACAACCGATATTTATATTGTGAAACGGTGGAAATAATAATCTCAGGACAATTCACACGGCGCCATCTAGACCCATGTTAAGCTAGCTAAAGCTTGTGTTATGGGTACTAGATAACTGATACATATACATAGATATATTTTTTTTGTAAATACATACATATTATACATAGAAAACAGCCAGACCGATACAAACAATCATACTCATGAATACAAAATATTTGTGCCGTGCGAGGAATCGAACCCGCGACCATCGGACGTAAAGCGGTGTGCTAGACCACTAGACCACTGAGGTCGTCATCAGATGTAATATACATATTTAAGTGTGAAATTAATTAAGAAGCCAACTCGGAGGTAACATATTTACTATAGCGAGTCTAAACTCCTAAATATATCATGAGAACGAAAACATCTTTTTTTTTATTCTTTACTAGCTCTTGTCTTCAGATTCGAATCGGAATTAACGCAGCTTCTTATGACTGACATAGTGATCTATCAACGCACAGCCCAAACCACTGGATGGATCGGGCTGAAATTTGGCACGCAGGTAGATGTTATCACGTAGGCATCCGCTAAGAAAGGATTTTGATTAATTCTATCCCCAAGTGGACAAAATAGGGGATGAAACTTTGTATGAAACTTTGTCAATTTTAAACCGATCGGGCTGAGACTTTGCATGCATAAAGCTACTATGACGTAGGCATCCCTTAAGAAAGGATTTTGATAAATTCCATCGCGAAGGGGATAAAGTAACGCGAGCGAAGCCGCGGACAAAAGCTAGTTTGACTATAATTCTGTTTTCTATTTTTGCACATATATATATATATATATATTAGATAAAGTAGTGAGATCATCCTATTTACTGAAATACGTCGTAAAGTTTTCATAAGATATTCCATAGGTCACAACTGCTAAATGCGTCCGCGTGATTTATGTAACAGTATTCTCCCGTGAGTACGCTCCTAATTTCAAAGTCATGAGAGTTTTAGTGCCGCCACTCCAATCTTATTTATCTGTGTTGCCATCAAACGCTCCTCCATTACGTACGTAAACGATTCCGTCATTATTACAGTCTGTTTGTATATTTTGGAAACAATTTGACAGATCGAAAAAGTCAACAAAGTCGTCTGCGGGGTACCTCTCTCTGTTTATCTATAAAACCAATGATATAACAGTAATGGCAGTAAAATTGTATATATATATATATATATATATATATACTAGCTGTCCCGGCAAACGTTGTTTTGCCTTAAAATAACAAAAAAAATTTAGGGGTGGACTACCCCTAACATTTAGGGGGATGAAAAATAGATGTTGGCTGATTCTCAGACCTACTCAATACGCTCACAAAATTTCATGAAAATCGGTCAAGCCGTTTCGGAGGAGTATGGGAACGAAAACTGTGACACGAGAATTTTATATATAAGATATATGTTTGTACTATCCTTTTGCTCTTGTGAAAATAAAACAAATATTTTGTACTAATGTAAAGGATCTTGTATTTCCCTCCAGTGATATAGCTCAAAATGACAAATTTAAAATTAGAGTGTTCTGTTTCCCCTCCGATTGATCCCCCGTCCAATTCAAACGGGGATCGAAATTACGACAGCCTGAGCCGAGGTTCGAACCCCTAGTGGTGCCCTCAGACTAAAGTCGTATCCGTCAGGCAGGAGTTGGCCTTCAACCGCTCCATAAGTCCTTCCGCGGGTTTGGAGTGCCATCGGCACTCGCCCCCTAACGTCCGGTGAAGCTGTAAAGGCCAGCTGCGGCCAACAGCATTAGAGTAGTCCGAAAAAAAGAGTGTTCTGTGTACTATTTTTAAAAGTTATATAATACAATGTAATTTATATTTTGAAACAGGTGGTCGGTATATAGTGGGAGGCAGCCGGGGCGACGTATTGGTAGTACGGGATGCGAGACCTGACGATCCCAGTTCATACTCGTGTGAGGCACAGCATGCGCTTACTGGTGAAAAACGGAAGAGTGTACCAGCTGCCGTCACAGTGCTTCGTAAGTATTGTTTACTTTCTAAGATTAAGATCAGCTGCATACGGTTTGTGTACCAAATTTAATTTTTCTCTAAAACATTGGAGTTAATAATTTCAAATGTCACAGATTAGTGAGATCAAACTAGGTCAATTAGGCGTCCAAGCATCATTAGGCATTGAATTTAGTATTCATATAGAATACTAAATTCAATGCCTAATGATGCTTCGTTTAAAGACGAGACACATGTCATAATAATGGTCGTAACGCTTTTAGTAGCGGTGGTCAGGATTGACCCCTGAGTGTTTGTGGTCTCACACATGCTAATGATAGCGTAATTAAACAAAATAATATAAATGCATTAAGTAATTGCAAAATATGCAGTAGACTCAATAATGGTCGGAATTTGATCACCAATAGAGAAGGTCGTAAAGCTACTAGTAGCGGTGGTCAGGTTTTACTGCTGAATACTTGTGAGCTCACACATGCTAATGGTAGCAAAATTAAACAAAATAATATAAATGCATTAAGTAATTGCAAAATATGCAGTAGACTCAATAATGGTCGGAATTTGATCACCAATAGAGAAGGTCCTAAAGCTACATGTAGCTGTGGTCAGGTTTTCCTGCTAAATACTTGTGAGCTCACACATGCTAATGGTAGCAAAATTAAACAAAATAATATAAATCCATTACGTAGTTTTAATACGATATCTAGTAATCGCAACACAATTTGCAAAGCAAGTTACTGGTGGCAGCTGTAGGTGAACCAGAGCACGTGCAGATTATTTTGTACCAAGTTCCAATTTGGTAATACTGACATTTATTTGAAAAAAATACTAACTGAGTTTCTTGTCAGTTCTTCTCATCTCGAAATCATTCCGAACTGACGGTAGATTTGTGATATCATAAGAGTCTGTAATAGACGTACATGAATAAAGATATTTTGAATTTGAATTTGTATACTCGTATAGATGCAACAGGAAGCATGGCGCCCCGCATGCTAACAGTATCGGAAGAGGAGGTGGTGCCCCAGGGAGGTGACATAAGGCTGGTGTGCTGCGCCATAGGAAACCCACCACCTACTTACAGGTAACTTGTATTTAAATTAATCTTCTCTTTGTCAATTCCTCACGGCTGAGGGTCGTGACCACCAGGACTGCTTCTTCTAACCAATATTCTTTACGCATCACTATCCACGCAGCCAATTGGATCGCCGACTGCATATTTCTCGAACGGAATCAGTCCATCTTGCAGGTGCTCTACCTTTGCTCCTTCTTCCATCCACGTGGCCTACCATTCTACTTTTTTTCAAATTATGTAGTTCCCGACGGGTCCTGTGGCCGAATAAAGTTAGCAGATGGAGGCACAGAGTAGAGAGACTGATTCTGATGCCCACTTGTTCCAATATACATTAGTGCGGCGCTCCATCTATGAAATTCCTAACATTTTGCACCAACGCAACATCCCGAAAGCATTTATTTTACGTGCGATTTCCAGGTAGGTACATGCCAAAGGCTAATGCCAAATAATTCCTTATGCGAGTATATGAAGATATACTAAAAAAACTTCCGGGTCTATCTAGTATTTTTTAATATAACGCAAACGCACAGACAAACAGATAAAAATTCTAAATTTTCACTCTTTTACCATCAATACCGAACAGCGCTAGCCAATAAATATAAAGTTTGTACCGTACGAGGAATCGAACCTGCAACCATCGGAAGTAAAGCCCTATGCTAAACCGTTGTACCACTGAGGCCGTCAAATTACATGCCAAAATAACCCTTGCCGGATCAGCTAGTTAATGTATATGTAAATAAACTAAGATTTGTAAATAATATACGGAAAATAATAATTGAATCAATAAGAGAAGAAAATGAATAGGATCAACGCTGAGATGAAATTAGATTTGTATACAGGCTGGCACTAACAGAAACGCCTCGTTTCTAACCCTAATGTCCTTGTATAGTAACGAGAAAAGGTTAACGACATAATTTCAGTATTGATTTTGTCTGGTAATCTTTACAAGACTAATCATCTATACATATAAATAAAATTGGAGTGTCTGTTTGTAATACTGAAATAATCATTTTTTACTGCATGCATATGAATATAAATACGGTTGGTGTTTACAATTTTTTATCTGTCAGTCTGACAGGCTTTGATTGTTCCGGCTAATCTTTGAAATGGCTGGACTGATTTTGACGGGACTTTTATTGGCAGGTAGCTGATGTAATAAGGAGTAACTTAGGCTACTTTTAATTTAGAAAAATTCTTTCAATTTAGAAAAATAAAATTAAATTCCGCGCGGACGAAATTACAGCTAGTCATATATAAGATTTGAATTTTTTTATCTTCGCATCCACTTTCACTCACCTCTTGAGACCTAGTCTCCATGCCCACCCTCACTCACCTGTTACCTACTTGTTTGTAGTGACTTTATATACGGGGAACTATATTCCCTACTTCTTCTCAATACCTAAGTAGTGAAACATATATCCGTATAAGTAATCGTAACTTTATATCGTGTGGAAAAATCTTCAAAAAGCGTTCCCTCGCTAGAGACCTTTGTGGAATTCTTACCCACTAAAAAAAAAATATAGTGTACCTACGAGGGCCATTGCCGGAGTCGCGAAGTTGTGTTAGCATTCTACCGAGATTATGACGATGGCTAACCCTGTAGATGATGTACGGCAGGTCCCAACTCATTGTTAGGATACCTATTTCGCTTTACTCTTATTTTCTATTTTTTTTATTTCTAAATTTGAGCACGTTTGACAGCAATCTTACCTGATCTTAGTGATGATGCGAGCTGGTAACGCAAGCTCAAATAGTGCCTATTCACTCTTGATTTGAAAGACCCAATGTTGTAAGAGGCAGGAAAGACAGACGCTGGGTAAGAGTTCCACTTCTTAGTTGCTCGCATAGCGAATGATGATGCAAACCGATTGGTACGAGCAGCAGGGATATCAGCAGTGTATGGGCGGAGCCCGTCTGTATTGCTTGTTGTACGGTGATGGAGCTCAATTTTGAATAGTGTGAATGCACGCGAAAGTCTCTGGGCTATTTAGGTAAGGCATTGCCTATATGATCCTAACCCTCGCTGACAAAATAGTCAGTGACTTAATCGAGAGAAACTTTTTTAGTAACATTGATAATGTGCTGGGAAGTAATATTAGATTGTGACGGTGAATATGATGCCGCTTTCTACTTTCTAGTGGATCTTAAGGTTGTCTATCTTTGCAGTCAATAAAAGGACTATTAGTAAAAATAAAAACCAAAAGTCCTACTTACTTACAATAGTTACTTTTGTTTAGCAAAGATCAAAAGAGTGTCTAAATAAACTTTTCAAAGAACTCACTAACGTAGGCGTGAGGTTTCTTTCCATGTATAAAAATGAATATATTTGTTTTAGTTGGTTTCGTCACTCCAACGGACGTCTTAGCCCGGTCTCCAACAGCATCAGGATATCAGTATCAGAACAAGTTCTCATCATTCGAAGAGCACAGTCATCAGATGGAGGGGTGTGGACGTGTCGAGCTCACAATCAGTATGGAGAACAGAGAAGGGACGCCAGGCTGAGGGTACGGTCGAGACTGGTAGTGACTGTTCAACCACAGCTGCAGGTGAGTGTCTTATACTTATACATAATACATTGCTGTTAGTCCCACGTTGGGCGCCAAAATCATTGTCTTTATTTTATTTCTTTAATAATTTGGGATCTTTTGCACGAAATACTTGGCGGTCCTATTGTACCCTAAATAATAACAAATAACTATATCATTTACATATATACATAGTATTACCAGTAGTCCCGCGTTGGGCAACAATATCATTGTTGTTTTTAATTCTTTTAAATTTGGGATATTTTGTACGAACTATAAATGCTTGGCAGTTCTATTGTAACTTAAATAATAACAAATAACTATATCACTTACATATATATTTGTATATATTACTAGTAGTCCCACGTTGGGCACCAATATATTTTTTATATCTTTATAATTTGGGATGTTTTGTACGAACTATAAATACTTGATATTCATATTGTACTCTAAATAATAACAAATAACTATATCACTGACATGTATATTGCCAGCAGTCCCACGTTGGGCGCCATTAACACAGTTTTTCTATTTCTTTGAAATTTGGGATATTTTGTACGACCTATATATACTTGGCAGTTCTATTGTACCTCAAATAATAACAAATAACTATATCACTGACATGTATATTGCCAGTAGTCCCACGGTGGGCGCCAATGTCATTGTTTTTTTTTATATCTTTAATATTTGGGGTATTTTGTACGAACTATAAATACTTGATATTGATATTGTACTTTTAACAATATCAAATAACTATATTACTCATATATATATACATATACGTACATTGCCAGTAGTCCCACGGTGGGCGCCAATGTTATTTTTTTTTTTTATTATTTTAAAATTTGGGAACTTTTGTACAAACTATAAATACTTAGAGGTCTTATTGTATTTTAAACCATAACAAATTACTATATAACTTCATCTGAGAATAAAATACCTTTGCAACACTAACCGACGTATCAGCTGAAGCATTTTGAATGGCATCTACATTGAATATGTTTATTCTATGGTCTGATATTATTCTATGTCGTAGACCTTTGTTCTTGACTCATTTTATCATCAAATTGTATACACGGTTTTAGGATATACATTGTTATGATCAATATTGGTTATCATGATTTTTTATACATTGAACTCTATGTACCTCTTTGTGACCGGGATGGAAATATTAGAATAGAATAGAAAATCATTTATGCAAATAAATTTAATTTAAGCACTTTTGAATAGTCAACATTTTTTTTAAAATCTACCGCTTATTCGGAAAGCTGTCTCATCACAAGAAGAATAAGCAAGAAACTTGTGTGTTGCTCTTTTAAACAATCCTTGTAAGTTCACATTTTACAAGTCGAAACGTGTGAATACAAACTACCACCAGCAATAATTTATTTAGGCTCAAATATAAAAACACAATAAGATTAAATCAGTTGTAATGATATTCGACGTACATTGCCTACTTTATGTATATGAATTATTAAGTTAACTTTTTTTTAATTTTGTTTTTTTATTCAGGCTACATGGCTCATATTAACAATACCTTATAGACTAACAGAGTATACTACCATAGTTTTAGTAGAACAAATTAAGATATTTGATGTTAGAATAAAAATAAATATCAAAAACGGCCACGTAGGCAATCCAATGCCAAAAATATGTTATGTTAAAAAAAAACTTGATTACTTACCTTAAATTCACATCACAGATCAGCGCCGGTCTATGGGGAAATTGAAATATAAGTATTCAGAGCACACTGGCGAAAGACACATCTCGAACGATGTGATCTGTACTTCAATCGAGCGATGTAAACATAGCGTAGAGGAACTGATATTTATTCCTTGCCTAAATACTGTTTTAAAGTATTTACAACTAGCTGTACCTGTGACTTCGTCCGCGTGGAATTTAACTTTTATTTTCTACAATAAAAGTAGCCTAAGTTACTCCTTATTACATCAGCTACCTGCCAAAAAAAGTACCGCCAAAATCCATCCAGACATCTCAGAGATTAGCCGGAACAAACAGACAGACAGACAAAAATTGTAAAAAAATGTTATTTTGGTGTATGTACCGTATTTATATTCATATGCATGTAGTAAAAAATGGTTATTTCAATATTACAAACAGACACTCCAATTTTATTTATATATATAGATGTATATACAAAATAAAATATCAGTTGTCTAGTACCACGAGCTCTCTTTAGTTTGGGACTAGATACTAGATAGAAGATACATATAATTATTATTATATGTAATACACTGACCGACAACTTCGTCTGTGTTACATTTCCTCACCTTTTACAATATTTTTCATTGCAGCTCCGCTCCTATTGGTCGAAGCGTAATGTTATATAGCTTAAAGCCGTGGAAAGGCTGTAGAAAATGCCGTAAGGCATAAAATCCGCCATATGTACATTTACTTTGGTATTTTGTACATTGAAGTTATATAAATAAATAAATAAACCCCTCCTCGACAAATGGACTATGTAACACAAAAATAATTTTTCAATTCAATCCAGCCGTTCCTGAGATTGCGCGTTCAAACAAACAAACTCTTCAGCTTTATAATAGTACAGATGATACTTCCGGAAGAAATATATATTAGTTAAAAGTATACCAAATTGATAGAATGACTTAGAAGATGTAAGCGGAACAGACAGACAAAAATAACAATTTTGTTATAATCTGTTTAGGAATAGATATTGTAATAATATTTAATTAAAAATATCGCGACTATATATTTAATCGAATTAGGTGTTGTTTTGCGGAAGGCCATTTCACTACTCGATTGATTTATATTATTTTGTTTAATTCCGCTACAATTAACATGTGTGAGACTACGAATATTCGATGTAGAAACCTGACCAGCGCTACGAATTTCTCCAGTGGTGATCAAATTCCGACCGTTATTGAGTCTACACCCATATCGCGACACGTGTTTCGGTGTGGAAACCTGGCCAGTGTAGACTCATTGGCGACCAATTGATTGGTCGCCAATGAGTCAACACTAGGTCTTTCGAGCTGTACCCGAACTCTAATTAACGCCTGATGACGCCTCGTTCAGAGGCGAAACACGTGTCGCGATATGGGTGTAGACTCAATAACGGTCGGAATTTGATCGCCACTGGAGAAGGTCGTAGCGCTGGTCAGGTTTCTACACCGAATATTAGTAATCTCACACATGTTAATTGTAGCGGAATTAAACAATATAGTATAAATCCATCGAGTAGTTATATTTCCCACTGTTTCTCTTGAAAGATGAGATCGCCGGAAGAGTTACAGGTCCAAGTTACTTAAATGTAAATACATTAATGAGTGGAGTATTAGAAATTAATGATGATAATAACAATTTATTATTCACAATTCGCCTCTTAATTTATTCTCGAGGTACACTATAACGGTGCCCCTTTAAACAAAAGCAATGAAATCAAACAAGATACAAAGAAAGTTCGTTAAATCCAAAGAGATATTAACGATGCCAAACTTTGATTTAATTTAAAATTAAATGTTGTTCCTTAGTGATTTTATTATAAATTCAAAGCTATTTCCTGTTATAATAAACACTGTTATCAGAGTTTCAAAGTATCCCATTGAAATTTGAAAGGTTTGAAATTACGGGTGTTATTGGATCTCTTGGGCAGATGGTAGAAAAGCTTAATGTAATGTTATTAGACTTGGCGTTATGTTGACCGGTTCTGGAGTTGGATGGTTCTGGAGTTGGATGGATAAGAAATATGATGCATTTTTTATATATATATCTTAGGACAATTTACACAGCGCCATCTAGTCCTAAGCTAAGCACAGATTGTGTTATGGCTACTAGGAAACTGATTGGTTTACTTAGAACACACTTAGATAATTATAAAAAGTCATACTCATGTATGCAAATCTTTGCACCGTGCGCAGATCCGAACAGCGACCATCAACAAGTAAAAGCGGTATGATAAACCGCTAGACTACCGAGGCCATCATACGTACATCAATTGTTTTTATTATGCCTATCTATACATATAAATAAAATTAAAGTGTCTGTTTGTAATATTGAAATAACCGTTTTTTACTACATGCATATGAATATAAATACGGTACATACACCAAATTAACATTTTTTACAATTTTTGTCTGTCTGCCTGTCTGTCTGTTTGTTCCGGCTAATCTCTGAAATAGCTGTACCGATTTTGACGGGACTTTTCTTGGAAGGTAGTTGATGTAATAAGGAGTAACTTAAGCTACTTTTATTTTAGAAAATGAAGTTAAATTCCACGCGGACAAAGACGTGGGTACGGCTAGTCTTGAATAAATATTAAGTCCATTGTTAATCAAAAATATATATAAATATTAATAAAATAAATATATAATAAATTTTTTTTGTTTCACTCAATATTATATTTTGAATGACTTTGCTATGGCAAAACATACGTTCTTACTTCTAAATTGTCATCTTTGAACTGTGTTTAAAGCGAATATATAATTTGTCCTCTAGTTCTTACAGTTCTCTCTATAAAGTTAAATTCCACGCGGACGAAGTCGCGGGAACAGCTAGTGTAACATAAATTTAATTCACAATTCGCAACTACCAATTCTGGTAATGGTCAATTAATTTCGAATTCGTTCAGCTAAGACTCATATATTGTGTCAGTACCCGGCTCCGTGTTACACACGAAATGGTGGGCAGTGGCAGGCACGAATGGTGGATTATCCGGGTACCGCCCGTGATATGGTGGTCACTCTATCTCCCAAATTTGAATTAACAAATGTATCTGTATTATTGTAAACATGTACATGTTGTATTTGAAAAGAATAGGCGCTGAGTTTCTTGTCAGTTCTTAATCATTCCGAACTGACGGCAGATTTGACATATCATAAGAGTCTGTAATAGACCTACATGAATAAAGATATTTTGAATTTGACACAAACAATCATACTCATGAATTGACGACCCCGGTGGTCTAGCGGTCTAGCACACCGCTTTACGACCGATGGTCGCGGGTTCGATTCCTCGCACGGCACAAACATTTATATTCATGAGTATGATTGTTTGTATCGGTCTGGGTGTTTTCTATGTATAATATGTATGTATTTACGAAAAAAAATTATCCATGTATATATGATCTAGTACCCATAACACAAGCTTTAGCTAGCTTAGCTTGGGTCTAGATGGCGCTGTGTGAATTGTCCTGAGATTATTATTATGAATACAAATGTTTACACCATGCGACGAATCGAACCAGCGACCATCGGAAAGTAAGGCAGTATAGTAAACCGCTAGATCAGAGAAGTCGTCATAGATATTTCGATTTTCTTTATTATGCTTATATTATAAATTTAATTCACAATTCATTGTCAATTTTATCACTACGACTGATTTAATCTTATTGCATGATTATATTTGACCCAAAAAATTAGTGCTTGTTGGTAGTTTGTATTCACACGTTTCGACTTGTAAATGTAAACTTACAAGGATTATTTAAAAGAGCAACACACAAGTTCTTCTTGTGATGAGACAGCTTTCCGAACGAGTGGTAGATAAAAAACAAATTGTTATGACTATTCAAAAGTGCTTAAATTAAGTTTATTTGAATAAATGATTTTCTATTCTATTCTATTCTATTCTGTTAATGGTCAATTAATTTCGAATGTGTTCTAAGACTCATATATTTTGTCAGTACCCAGCTCCATGTTGCACACGAAATGGTGGGCAATTTGGTTCATCTGGGTAACGCCCGTGACAGGCTGGGACTGACTCCCAATTGAATTATTCATGAGATCGAACTGCCGATTGTCTTCCAACGCCAAGTCGGTCACTTTGTGAAAATATTGCACGCTTTATTTGCACAGTAGGTATAAATTTAAATAAACCAAACTAATGTTGCGGAGGTAAAACATTTTGTTTTGTTTTTGTGATAAATAAAAATATTTAACAGTTTTCAAAAACTTGCTCCACTCACAGAAACTTCCATTATCAGCAATTAAACATTGCGTAGCACGATCGATAGTAAAACCAATAGAATATCATATTAATCAAATTTATGGAAACTAGAATATGTATAATAGAAAGGAATAGAAAAAATATAAATAATATAAGCTCTTTAGAATAGTCATATTTTTTCAACCACTCATTCGGAACGCAAACTCACCACATGAAGAATGCGCAAAAACCTACCTGTTGCTCTTTTGAATAAATGTTGTTTTAAATAGAATAGAATAGAATAGAATAGAAAATCATTTATTCAAATAAACTTAATTTAAGCACTTTTGAATAGTCATAACAATTTGTTTTTTATCTACCACTCGTTCGGAAAGCTGTCTCATCACAAGAAGAACGAGCAAGAAACTTGTGTGTTGCTCTTTTAAATAATCACACATTATCACAAAAAAATAAATACATATTAACAATACGAGGCATTCGATAATCAACATAGATACCGTTACGCACTCATTCTTTGTGCAATCAGATAATATTGTCAGGACAATTAATTTTAAGTCTATCTCTACAAACTAAATATATAATCCAACTGTACTTATAAATCTCTTAAGATATACTGGAAGGAACTGGTGAGCCGTGACACAGTTTCTTCGGATACCTGGTACAGGCGTCAGTTCTTCACAAATATGTATTCTAGCATTAAACTTACATCCTCAAATTGCTCTGCGACTCTGTACATTCATGTCAATGTTTTCTGGAGAAAATAAATAATTAGTATCATAATCCAAATTTAATATATTTAACTCATATTTCAAGATGTATTATATAATCTAAATTTCAATATAAATAATCCAGATTTGAAGATACATAATCCAAATTTAAAGATACATAATCCAAATTTAAATATAAATAATTCAAATTTAAATATAAATAATCCAAATTTAAAGATACATAATCCAAATTTCAATATACATAATCCTAATTTCAATTTGCAGATAGCGAATTCGGGCAGCTCAGTGACGTTCAACTGTTCAGTGGAAGGTGGGGAGGCGAGGATAAGATGGCTTCACGACGGCGTGCCGGTAGGGGGTGCAGAGCGAGTACTGAGGGTGCACTCAGTGATGCGAGTTCACCGCGGGATGTACCAATGTTTTGCAGAGAGAGACTTGGACTCGGCGCAGGCTGCTGCTGAACTGCGATTAGGAGGTAAGTTCATTTAATTTTTTCCATCCAAAGCCTGATAAATCTCAACATCATCTCTATGATTTTCTGTGAATTACTATGAAGAGACCGAATACATACATATATATATATATATATATATATATATATAAATATCCCCTTGGGCACTTTGTGGCTCAGACGTGCCGTATAGGTAGTTTTTTGTTGATCCTTTTTCACTTGTTGATCCGGAGGCCTTTTGTTGATCTAATGCCAGATGACCATATATAAATGTTGATCCGTTTTGAGCCACAACTGTCACGACGAGTAATAATAATAATTAAGCGATTTATACACGATTTTATACAAATCCACCTTTTTGGCATACGAGCAGTTCTTGATCCAATTCAAACGGGCCAATCAGGGTGCAGCATTTGCCAAGGGCTTCCTCATTGGCACGTTTGGGCTACTACATTATGGCTACAGTAACTTAATAATGTCTAGCTAGTATTTCAAAAATAATAGTCTACCTAATCTAAATATTTATAGAAATCAGTCTGGAGTAACGTGACTCCAGATCAAACCTCAATACTTGTTATTTTTTGGACGGGAATTTTTCCTTTTGTAACAACGTTACTGAGCGAATGAAGAGAAGACGTAACGGCGGATCCAGGGGGGAGCGTCATGGAGGTCTTGGGAGTCATGGGGGGGTCATGACTCTCCCCCCCCTTAGCCCAGGACTTAGGTAGACCACTAATTGAACTAAAAAATAATGAAACAGCTAAATTTTTTGCACGATCGGAGTGTTGGTGCAGTAGTATTAATTATAATTAAACATTGTTACTTAAAACATAACAGTTAAAGTACTATAACACTAAAAGCAAAATAGGTATTTTCAAAATACTTTTTCAAAATAAATTACCCTTTGAGTTTTTGTTCAAACCTCAGATATTATATTTATTTTAGGTATATCAATCAATACATAGTATAGCATAGTACAGTCTGTCTGTCTGTCTGTTTGTTGCGGCTAATCTCTGAAATAGCTGGACCGATTTTGACGGGACTTTTTTTGGCAAGTAGCTGATGTAATAAGGAGTAACTTACGCTACTGTTATTTTAGAAAAATAAAATAAAATTTCACGCGGACGAAGTCGCTGGGGCCAGCTAGTCTATAGATATACCGAGATTTAATGTTTAAGTTGCTATTATGTTATTGACAAAATTTTACTGTAATGTTACTATTACGTTATCCTACACAATTTGTATTATTTTGGATGAATAAATAAATAAATAAATAAATAATAATCTATACATCTATACATTTAATAAAAATTGGAGTGTCTGTTTGTAATATTGAAAAAACCGTTTTTTACTACATGCATATGAATATATATAAGGTACATATACCAAAATAACTATTTTTATAATTTTAGTCTGTCTGTCTGTTTGTTCCGGCTAATCTCTGAAATGGCTGGACCGATTTTGACGGTACTTTTTTTTGGCAGGTAGCTGAGTTATAAGGAGTAACTTAGGTTACTTTTATTTTAGAAAAATAAAGTTAAATTCCACGCGGACGAAGTCGCGGGAACACCTTGTTTTTAATAAAAACATCTTTTTTGTGGTACTTGAGAATGTTGAAGCCTGTTGTTTGTAATATTGAAATAACCGTTTTTTACTACTTGCATATGAATATAAATACGGTACATACACCAAAATAACATATTTTACAATTTTTGTCTGTCTGTCTGTTTGTTCCGGCTAATCTCTGAAATGGCTGGACCGATTTTGACGGGACTTTTTTTGGCAGGTAGCTGATGTAATAAGAAGTAACTTAGGCTACTTTTATTCTGGAAATGTTCTTTTATTTTAGAAAAATAAAGTTAAAAACCACGTGGACGAAGTCGCGGGAACAGCTAGTGTATAATATATTAGAGATACCTACGTGTTTTTTTATTGATGACTAGCTGTACACGGGATTTCGTCCGTGTTGAATTTAACTTTATTTTTCTAAAATATAAGAAGTTAAATTCCACGCGGACGAAGTCGCGTGTACAGCTAGTTGTCTGTAGTCTAGCGATTTAGCTAGCACACTGCTTTGATTCCTGCTTGGTGGTCGAGGGTTCGATTCCTCGCACGCTGCAAACATTTGTATTCATGAGTATGATTGTTTGTAACGGTCTGGGTGTTTTCTATGTATAGATAATATATATGTATTTACGAAAAAAAAAACTTTGTATTTATATCAGTACCCATAACATAATCTTCAGCTAGCTTAACTTTGGTCTAGATGAAGCTGTGTGAATTGTCCTGAGATTACTATTATTACTATAATAAATCTTTTCAAATCAGCCGATGTTTATTTTTGCCATAATACGTGCTGTTACCATGTGATAATATTACGTACGTACTTAATACTGTTTTAAATGTGATGCGTTCATTATTTATATTTCCTTTGAATTAAAGACAAATGTATATATATATATATATATATATTTATATACACTTGCACACTTAGTTGATCCAGCCACGATCCGTAGATATTGCTGATCCACTGTCTCTCTCTTTCTATCACTATCTTTGTATTCTAATATGCGATGTTGCCGTTCCGGCCGAGACCATGCGTTGTTGCCAAATGTATTCGTCGATAGTAGTAGATACTTATACTCGATATATATTTTTTCAACAATTTCCTGCAATAGTGAATCCGTATCGGCATTTTTTTTAAATGCACAAAGATTTTTTGGCTCTGAATATATTTAAAAATCATTTACTTGTGTGTTGATGAATTTATATACTAGTACATGAAGTACCTAATACTTGTTTTGATTTGAATAGGTAGCGATATTATGAATTTATTATACGTAATCTAAAGATTTTGACGAAATAAAAGTAATTAGTTATCTGTTAACCTTGACTTCATGCTGGCACCAGTATTATCAGATGATGAACATACTCTTCGAAAACTTACAGCAGAAATATCGTGTTTGGACTCATTAGATAGGTCTCGATGAATAGAGTTTAAAAAACTTAAAATAAATGGTACATTAGAAATAATGTATAAAAACCCCTTACGTAAAATTCAACCACTTTAAACTTAATAATAATAATAATTAGGAAAAGAGAAAAGCTATACATGCACTGAAAGTAATTGATGCTTTCCACACAATATTTTCAGTATTAAACAACTCTGTTTGTTCAGTAAAAGTGTAAATACACTGGTAACCTTTAATCATATTTTATATGCAAACATTACATATACAAACACTAAAGTTTTATTTCAGAATAGCCAGTAGTTTTCAAGAAATAAGTCTTTGAAATTGTACGTGTAACTTATATATATACCTACTAGTTTTTTCACCATAACAAACAACATCAATATGGCCTAGTTAGTAGTTTACCTGTGTACCAATTAATAATAATAGTAATCTCAGGACAATTCATACAGCTTCATCTAGACCCAAGTTAAGCTAGCTGAAGATTATGTTATGGGTACTGATATAAATACAAAGATTTTTTCGTAAATACATATATATTATCTATACATAGAAAACACCCAGACCGTTACAAACAATTTAATAATAAGTTAATAGTTTAATAAGTACGTACGTAATATTATCACATGGTAACAGCACGTATTATGGCAAAAATAAACATCGGCTGATTTGAAAAGATTTATTATAGTAATAATAGTAATCTCAGGACAATTCACACAGCTTCATCTAGACCAAAGTTAAGCTAGCTGAAGATTATGTTATGGGTACTGATATAAATACAAAGATTTTTTTCGTAAATACATATATATTATCTATACATAGAAAACACCCAGACCGTTACAAACAATCATACTCATGAATACAAATGTTTGCAGCGTGCGAGGAATCGAACCCTCGACCACCAAGCAGGAATCAAAGCAGTGTGCTAGCTAAATCGCTAGACTACCGACAACTAGCTGTACACCCGACTTCGTCCGCGTGGAATTTAACTTCTTATATTTTAGAAAAATAAAGTTAAATTCAACACGGACGAAATCCCGTGTACAGCTAGTCATCAATAAAAAAACACGTAGGTATCTCTAATATATTATACACTAGCTGTTCCCGCGACTTCGTCCACGTGGTTTTTAACTTTATTTTTCTAAAATAAAAGTAGCCTAAGTTACTCCTTATTACATCAGCTACCTGCCAAAAAAAGTCCCGTCAAAATCGGTCCAGCCATTTCAGAGATTAGCCGGAACAAACAGACAGACAGACAAAAATTGTAAAATATGTTATTTTGGTGTATGTACCGTATTTATATTCATATGCAAGTAGTAAAAAACGGTTATTTCAATATTACAAACAACAGGCTTCAACATTCTCAAGTACCACAAAAAAGATGTTTTTTTATCAAATAAACAGTTTTTATTAAAAACAAGCTGTCCCCGCGACTTCGACCGCGTGGAATTAACTTTATTTTTCTAAAATAAAAGTAGCCTAAGTTACTCCTTATAAATCAGCTACCTGCCAAAAAAAGTACCGTCAAAATCGGTCCAGCCATTTCAGAGATTAGCCGGAACAAACAGACCGACAGACAGACAGACAAAAATTATAAAAATTGTTATTTTGGTATATGTACCTTATATATATTCATATGCATGTAGTAAAAAACGGTTTTTTCTATATTACAAACAGACACTCCAATTTTTATTAAATGTATAGATGTATAGATTATTATTTATTTATTTATTTATTCATCCAAAATAATACAAATTGTGTAGGATAACGTAATAGTAACATTACAGTAAAATTTTGTCAACAACATAATAGCAACTTAAACATTAAATCTCGGTATATCTATAGACTAGCTGGCCCCAGCGACTTCGTCCGCGTGAAATTTTATTTTATTTTTCTAAAATAACAGTAGCGTAAGTTACTCCTTATTACATCAGCTACTTGCCAAAAAAAGTCCCGTCAAAATCGGTCCAGCTATTTCAGAGATTAGCCGGAACAAACAGACAGACAGACAGACAAAACTTGTAAAATATGTTATTTTGGTGTATGTACCGT